TGTGTGTGTGTGTGTGAAGAGCAGGCTATATCACACACCATGAGAGGGAGCCAACAAGTCAGCTAAGCTATGAACACACAGAGGTTACAGTCACAGATGTTTCCCTGGATTTGTCTTTGTTAGTAATGAGGGAAATGTGTAGCCACTAAGTGTATGAGAGCTATTTCTTCACCTTTGATATACATTTTTGCCATGTTGTTTACTTTAACAGGCAAATTAATCCGCTGTGTGTTTTTCACTACTAAATATCTCTGGAGCCTTTTCTGTTTGGCATTGACTCTTTCTCTGCAGTGCCAGTTCAGTTTGCAGGTTTTACACAACACCCATTTATACAGCTGGCTAAATATTTACTCTGGTAAAGTAGCTCGCTCAAGGGTACACAGTGATATCCCTGCTGGGTTTTGGACCTACAATGTGTGAAAAAGCTTCTTTGCATATGGACTCTGTGCACCTGACATTTGATGTGGCTACATACTCATTGCTTTGTATTTGGTGCTGATTGACAGCACACTGGCCTAGATGTAGAAAAAAGAATATTCAGATTCTCTCAGTTGGAGAAGAATAATCTATATTATGCAAATATATATTTGTTTCTGCCTGTAAGATTCCATTCATACACATTAACTAAACTCTTATAGTTACAGGTTTAAACTAAATGTTTTTTTCACTCCCAGTTATCAAAGTTCTCTGCAAGGTCTGCCATTATCAATTTAAAAGATATAAGCCACCAGTAGCCTTGAGGCCAGGCTTTATAGTGGTTTTAAAGGGAGCTAGACAGGAGGCTGTCAAGTATCTTTGATTTTTAAAGATGGATGAATTGGTTTTAAGAGATAATTTAATTCAGTAATTCACAAAAAAACACTAATATTGAGGAAACATCTAGCAGGGTCCAGACCTTCAGGTTAGGGACCAAAGGCTTACAGCACATGTGGCTATTAACATAATGATAATCGTGTGGTCATGAAAGTATTTATTTCCTATTTTTCTGTTACAGCATTCAGCCAATTAAAATTAAAATGAGGAAACATGTATGTGATGTAACGCAGCCAGAAGCCCAGCTTGCGCTTCATGGCACACCTTGAAGCAAAATAAAACGTTTGTAGCTGTCCAAACACAGTGTAAAACAGCACACTTGTGTAACTTGTAAATTAACTAATAACATTAATAGTGGCTGTATTCCACTCAGGTGTGCCAGTGTAAGAGTTTAGGTATTGTACATGCTGGCTCAGCGGAAGGCCACTGGCACACCTGAATGGAACCAAACCATAATTAATGTTATTAGTTCCAACCAGAAGTCACAGGCCTAATGTTTCTAATATGTCTCTCCATCGGCGGCCTGTTCGTTTTAGAATACATTTTGAGATTTTACTCATCACTTTTGAAGAATGTCTACATATCAGAAATGTTGGGGGCGTGATATTACTTTTT